TGCAGTGGGGCTGTGGCAGGGCTGCCACATAAGCCTTTTGTCTGGTTATTCCATGATTTCCACGTAGCCAGGTTCATTGAAGGCAGTACCCACCCCTCCTGGCACAGCTCCTGTCCTGTGCCCCGTGTCCATCCCGCCCTGAGCCCCTGAAGATGCTGCACCCCCGGGTTTGTCTCAAATGTGGCTTTGATTCCTYCTCTCCAGTTCTAGCTACGCTGGAAGCATTCCTGAAAATGAAAGCCAGCTCTTTCCTGAGCTTTGATGTGTGTAGTAGAACTGAGCAAAGAGAAAAAAAAAATCTATCCTATGGGGGATGGGTTTTTAGAAAAAACATCCTATTGAATCAATGGCATTTGTATTAAAACCAGCCAAGTCCTTGGAGTATTTCCATAGGAACCAGCCCTCCCATTGTGGGCAGAATCCCTGCAGCAGCATCCASGGCTGTGTGTGAGTGGGGAGCAGTGGCAGGGGGGCTCTGGGGTGTGCCCAGCCCKGGCAGGGGAGCAGGGCGGGGARGGCTGCTCATTGTTGAGTCAGTGATTCACAGCTGTGATTCACAGCCCCATCCTATAGCCGTGGAAGGCAGCCAGCTCTGGCCATCAGCTGTGTGCCTTCTCCGCTGCGAGAAGTTATTTTTGGATGTTTTTAGATTACAGCCCTTGGGTTTTTTGTTTTTTTTTTTTCTGTGCCTCTGAATTCTGGATGATTGCTTTGCAAGTAATTGAGACACTTGAATTTCCTGCCTGGAGAAGTGAGTTCAATACCTTTTTTTTTGCAATGCTAAGGCATTTCTGAAATAGCTTTTCTATGTGGCGTCATGAAGAGCAGGCACACAGCCTCGGGGCTCTTTGTGCAGAATTTGGGAACACTGGGTGCAGGAAGGTTGCAGAAAAGGATAGGGGGGCTGTCAGGTTGAACATGAGTCACCAGTGCACCCTTGCTGTGATGGAGACTGACTGGTTTTACTGGTGAGGCTGTAGCCAGCAGGACAAGAGGTTGCCCTCAATTCGACACTCACAGGTCCACACCTGGAGCCCCGTGCCAAATTTTGGGCTCCCCAGTGCAACAAAATCAGGGCCGTATGGGAGCCACCAAAATGACCCAAGAACTGGATCCCAAGGCAGGGTGGGAGAGGCTGARAGAGCTCCTTCAGCTTGGAAGTGTGGGGGCCAGGAGCACTAGATRATCTGTAAGGACCMTTCCAACCCAAASCATTGTAGGATTCTCTGATTTATGTCTCTGTCTGTCTGATTTTGTGATCCCACAGGGCATTAAGGGGATGTAGGGCTTTGGGGACAGCTGTCAGGGCTGTGACAGCTCTCAGGGCTTTGTGAGGCTCATTAGAGGAGTTCATGTGTTCACTCCCTCACTCAACCAGAAGAAAGGATAAGGGTCTGAAAGGGTCTGGGTCCCAGCTGTCCCTGCTGAGCTGGCTGGTGCTGCACATCCCCCTTCCCTGGGGCACACAGCTCTAAACCAAGAGCTCAGAACAACCTGAGCAAGATCCACGTTTCYTGGTTCAGCCACTCCCCTTGTGCCRTGCACTGGGAGGGTTGGWCTGTGCYTCTCAGACCCCTCRCAGGCTGCAGGGRYKAACCAGACCCTTYATCCCTTCCATTCCATCCCATTCCTGGCCCAGTCTGGTGCCCTGTGGTGYCAGCTCTCCTGTCTGTGCCTTCATGCAGCCCTGGGGCCAAGRGCTATTGGGGTGGGGGGGCGAGGACTACCTGGTGAGGGAGCTTAGTSGGGTCAGGGGTCCTGCTGAACCTGAGGGTGAATTTCCTGACCACAGGGTGAGCCTTTCCTGTGCATTCCCACTGTCGTAGGGCATGAAGGCTTTGGCAGGAGGAACTTCTGTGCAGGGAAGCCTGTTGCCTGAAGGAGGGGTGGGAGAAGAGTCTTCTGGGAGGTGGAAAATGTGATGCTGGCACTGCCACATCAAAGAGGGAGTTGAATCTGAGCCTCTGATTTCAAAACAGCATTCAAAACACTGGAATGCTGCCATTAAAAAACAAACAAACAAACAAACAAACAAAATGTATTTAGACCTTTCTTGTGCTTTCCCTTCCTTCGTCTCTGGGTACCACCATCATGTCTGGGCAGCTTCCAGAGCCAGGACCAGCGGCTGGCAGGCTCAGGGATGTTTCTGAGCAGCTTTCCTGAAGCCCTGAAAAACCTGGAACCTCAGCTTCCAGCTGGGATGGGGGGCAGGAACTGGTGGGGTTAACTGGTGGCTGRATGGGTTGTGGTTTGCGATGGAGTTTAGGTTCCTAAGTCCTTTATTGGATCAGGCCCGGGGCTCTATTCCCAGCCCTGTTTGTGACATTAACAGGTCACCAGCCCCAGGGCTGTCCCCACCTTGTCCTCGCTGCCTGCGCGGCGCTGGCAGGACACCGAGCGTGGGGCAGGGGATCCATGGCCGAGGAATCTCGGCGCAGCCACCACGCAGGAATCAATTCAGGAGGCGAGCACGGCTCATTTCTGGCCTCCTTGAAACCGTGCCACTCACACGGCGCGCAGGAAGGCTATAAATAGTGCCCAGGATGCCCTGGGATGCTCACACGGGCAGCAGGTATTGCAGGGTCGTGCCGGGGCAGCCTCTGCTCCATTAGTGGTTATTTGCATCCTCTAAAGATTAACTGGTGTGAGAGCAGCGCCCCGTGCCCGGCTGGGGATGGATCAGGCACGGGCTACGGGAAGGGAGGGATGGTTCTGTGGGTCTGGCACGGGTCCTGCACGTCTTTGGAGAGGTTTTTGGGGACCAGATTTTCTGCAGAGCACCTGGAGTGTCCGTACAGCATCCTCACAGTCTGATACTGTGTTTTAAGGGGAGTTGAAATGAATATTCAGAGTTCCAGAGTGGTTTGGGTCAGAAAAGACCTTAAAGATCATCTCATTCCACCCCTGCCATGGCAGGGACAACTTCCACCATCCCAGGGTGCTCCAAACCCCATCCAACCTGACCTTGGAAACTTCCAAGGATCCAGGAGCAGCCACAGCTTCTCTGGGCACCCTGTGCCTCCCTCCCCACCCTCCCAGGGAAGGATTTCTCAGGGCTGGTGAAAGCTCCTGTGCATACAAGGCTTCTCTCCTCGCAGAGCTTTGATGCAGCTGGGGCAGTGTCCTCCCACGCTATGAGGTCACAGTGACAGATCCAACCTTTGAGAACATCCTGTGGGTCCACCCCAATTCCAAAATGTCCATGTTGAGCCTGTTCTGTGTGTGAGAGTGCAGGTGGAGGGGCACTCGGGCAGGGGGATGCTCAGCAGGGCATGAGGAGCCCATCTGGTGCCCAGCACGTGGCACTGAGCTGGCACCGGCCGTGCCTGCGCTGGCATTTGCAGCGTGCGGGGTGCTGAGTGCTCAGGCACCGAGCTGTCAGCAGGGCACCCTGGAGCTGGGGATGTCGGCTACTTGAGCTTGGCTGAGCAGGAATTCGGGGGCTGAGCAGGAATTCAGGAGCTGAGCAGGGTCTGAGGAGGGCGTTGGGTTCTGAGGAGAGCATCAGGGTTTGAGCAGGGTTTTCGGATCTGAGCAGGGTGTTGGGGTCTGAATGGGAATTCGGGGTCTTAGCAGGAATTCAGGTTCTGAGCAGGGCATTGGGGTCATGGCAGGGTATTGGGATCTGATCAAGGAATCAGGTGTTGCCATCTGAGCAGGGCTTTGGGGTCTGTGTGTAAGGGCTGGGACCACGGTGGTGGAGGAGGTCACCTCTGTGCCTTGTAGCCTGGTGGTTTGAACTTTTTCCTGGGAAATGGGCTAAGGCCTCTTCATGGGAAGGGCTTTCCAGCCCCACATCCTCCCCTGTGTGATTGCAGGAGAGCTCCCAGCTGCAAGAGCGGGGCACCCTCATCCCAAGGGAGTCAGCACACAGTAAAAGGGTAAATCCTGGCATCCCAGGGGGTGGGAAGGGCTGTGGGTGGTCAGAGCACTGAGCTGTGAGTTCAGAGTGGTGATTGGAGTGCACGGTCATTTAGGGACAGAGCAGAGGGGACTGCAGGAAGCTGGTGAGATGTTTAGGAAGTGTGGAGGCTCTGGAGGGGCTCTGGGAGCGCAGCCCTGACCAGTGAGCGGTGGCTGAGCACAGCTGACACCTGGCAGACATGAAAGCGGGGCTTGTTAGACTGTACAGAGTGCTAATTGTGGCCTCAGTCACAAAACCCCTTCAGCCAAAATCTGTCAGCATCCCCTGAATTTTCCCAGGCAGATCTGTGGTGCTCAGCACCCCCAGCAGCCAAGGGGAGCCAAGGCAGATGCCCAGACACTCCCTGCTCTCCTCTCCGTTGTGCTCCAGCCTCCCCTGACTGATCTTGGACTCTTTTCAGAGCAAGTTCTGTGGTGCCGGGCAGCTGCTCCTTTATGATCCCAAAGCCCACCACACCATGGGGTTTTCTCACCCTCCATCAGATGAATGAAGCTGCAGAATGGAGTTGTGCCCTGAAATAGCTTGAAAGGTGCATTCACCCTACAGAGCCTGCAAAAGGACAGAGGACCTGGTCATACAAGGGTGCATATGCACCTCTGGGGCTTTAGGACAGCAGTTTTTGATATTACATTGTATTTTTGGGAAGGGATTACATTATATCCCATGGCAGAGGGTTGGAATAGATGATCTTCAAGTTCCCTTCCAACTCAAATCATTCAGTGATCAGTGATTCAGTGATTCTGTGCTTCTGTGCTTCTGTGCTTCTGTGCTTCTGTGATTCTGTGCTTCTGTGAGTTTGTGGTTCTATGGTTCTGTAAGGATGGGATTTTGAGGTGAGGAGGTGTGGCTGTAGCCTCTGAAGGCAGCAGGAGTTAGGTGGGTGTTGCTGGAAGCACCACTGGGTCCCCAAGTGCTTTTGCTTGAAGTTGCTCTTGAAGAGCCTGGTGAGGGATGGACAYCTCTGAAAGACTCTTGGCTCCTGAGTGTTTTTTAGTAGAAGGATTTAGAGCATGCCTGGACCAGCCCACTCGTGGCTGAACTGTAGTAACTTGCTGTTTGTTTTCTTTTCCCACAGCTCCCAGAATGGAGAGGAAGCTGGAGCCTGGCCGAACAACCAGTTTGACACGGAGATGCTCCAAGCCATGATCCTGGCTTCAGCCAATGGTTGGTCTTCATCACTTGTGGGAAAACCCTGACTCTTGCTCTGGTGGGGCCGTCTCGGGTTCATGCTGATAGATAAGATACTGTGGGACTGATTTATCTGGGTTAGCTGGGCTGGTTTCCAAAGTTCCTCTTCATCAGATCCCAAAGCTGGTGGAAAAGCACTGATGTCCCTGCAGAGAGAGGGGTCAGGAAGGATCCAGGCAGGGGAGACACCTGACTGCTGTAGGCAGGGACACCTCTTCCACCCAGACTATTTCCTTTGTGATGAAACAACATCATCTGGATGTGCTGTGGCTGTGTGACACCAAAGAGCCACTCTGGAGATGGTATTTGATAAACTACTTGGTTCCAGAGTGTCACAGTAAACTAAACTTGCTCTAAGGAGAGGAGGGTAAGAAGGCTGGAAGTTTTGCTTGTGGCTACAGGCTGGACTAGGGGAACAGCAAATGCCTGGCTCAATATTCCCAATAAACCTTGTGTCCAGAGGAGCTCCCCGGGTCCCTCTGCAGAACCTTCAACTCGCTACGGTCATCCTCACTGGCTGCTGCTGCTGCCTCTTTGCAGTTGTAGTCGCAGGGAGGTGGTTTGGGGTCATTTTGGGCTGGTTTGTTCTGGTTTAGGGCTGTGCAGAAGCCTTGGGCAGGGAGGGATGTTCCCACGCACCCACAGTCTCTGTGGCTTTTCATGAGACAAAGACAATTATCACTCTGAGCAGCACTGGTTTTCATACAGCCTTTATTTATAAATACCCCAAGTCTTTCCCCCCCTTGATTTAAAAATAGAAGCACAGCCATAAAGCCCTGTGCAAAATGCTTAGGATGTTTTCTTTGAGCTGTTGGGAGGGGAGGAATCYGAGGGAGGAGGAATGGCTTTGGTGGTGCTTTCTTGGAAAGCTGCTGCGGCTGAGCTTTGCTGCTCCACAGACACCAGGCAGCCTGGAGACAGCTGCCATGGCTGGGGAAGGGGACGGAGGTCTGGGACCTGGGAGTTGTTTACACTCAGGAGAAAGAGACAATGAGAAAATGTGTCTTTGCTCTGAAAAACGGCCATGGAAAAACAGCCCGTGGGGTTGCATGTGKTTATCATCACCCAGCATCTCCAGATCCGGTTTCCTTGCTGGTTAAATAAAGCTGTTTTTCTGGCTGCTGCTCTGGCAATCCCCAGGATCAGAGCTAAGCGGGTCCCTTCCAGGTTAAGAACCCTCTTCCATGGAGCCCCGGGCCCTATTGCAGCAAATCTCCCCCAGTCCACAAGTCTGAAGGGTCCTAACCTCTCCCAGGGCTCGAGCCCGCCCAGGGGGTCAATGTAAATCACATCCATCCTCCAGATCAGGGCTTTCCCTTATCCATCCTTTTCATGTCYTTTCTGTGCTGGGTGTGTGGATGGCGACACATTCCCTCCAGCACAGTTTTCATGTCACTGCTGCTCTCTGTCCCCAGTTTCTGCTTTCTCTTTAAGCCAATAGTGTTGATTGCAGCAGGCTTTGATTAGGGGCAGCTTTGAGSTACCCATCCCTAGGTGTGATTTCCTGGCCATTTAAATGATCCTTCTCTCACCCACTGAGCTCTGTTTGGTGGGACACAGGGGATGTCCTGGATGTGTCCTTACCCTGGGCCAGGGCTTTATCCTTTGCTTCAGCGGCAAGCAGAGCCTGCATGACCCAGTCCTTTGAGGATTAAATCTCTTTCCCAATGGTTAAATTACCATCACAAGTCAGAGTACCTGGGGACCTGATTTCCTCCAGGACTGCTGTAGGACTTCTATCTCCCTTCCCAGCCATTTCCACTGGATCTCCCTCCCTTGCCACTGGGAAAAATACGGAGAGCCAGTGTTTTGAGCGATCTGAATGGGCAGAGGCAGCTGCTAGGACAGCCCAAGGAGCACAGATGCTCCAGGGCACCAGACACTCAAGGGCAGGCATCCTGTCCTGAAAATACTCTGCCTTCCAGTGAGCATTTATAGAGGTGCCATGGGATGGTGRGAGAGCAGACGGAAAGGCAGCCCAGGGAGGTCCTTGTCCCCCCGGGCAGGGGCAGACACACTATTTTGGGACCCCTGAAAGCCCCACCAGCAGCTGCAGCAACACGTGCTCTAGGGCTGCCCCTGGCCTGCCCTCCACCCACGGGGGCGATGGAGCCACTCGCTGGTTATTTTTGCCGAAGCCCAAATTCTTGTTTTCCTCCTCAGGACAGTTTTGGATAATGACAGGCTGCTGGTAGAGGCTGAGCGTGACCTTTCCAGCAGCAAGAGCCGAAGTGCTTTGCTTGGCAAGAGCACCTCTGTGCCCATTTATAACCCTCTATTGTTCCTGTTCTCTCTTCTTTTCAGCCTTAATGTCAGTGTTACCTAGAAACAGCCGGTTTCCCTTACCCGGGACCGACTGCCAGGCTGGGAACTTCACCAGAGCCCTTTTCTCCCTGGTGAAARCTGCTCTGGGAGTGCAAATGAATTCTTGGGGACTTGGGTAGTGCTCGAGTCCACCCRGCCTCTCACTGGGGTCAGTCCCTGGAGGCTGTGGTCCACCTGTGGGATGGTCCCTGCATATCTCCAGTCACTCATCCCGTGGGGATCATTTGTAATACCTCGATGCTGTGGGCTTGAGTTGCTTGCTAATGAAATAAGCTCCTGCTGAGGTGAGAGAGGGCCAGCAGTGARTATCACCAATTACAGATGCATCCCCCCAGCCCGAGCTCCTCCAAGCCCTGCTAGTTCTGGAACCCATTCAATGGGGACTCTGAAAGAACTGTCCTGCAGTGAACGCTTCCAGGGCAGGAAGTGAGAGGCATTTCCCCACGCTGGGTCGCTGTGTTTGTACACCACGGCCCCCGCCCCAGTGCACAATATCGCGCCTGTTTTTGGCCTCGCTCTGTTTTCCTCTCCACCCGCTCCGACAGAGCAGCTGCAGCTTCTCAAACTGCAGTTGCTTCATCCTTCCGACCCCTGCAAAGGGAATTTGTACACAGCCATATTTCAGGGGAACGGTGGGATGAGGTCCAGCTTTTTGTCCAGCTTTCTGGCTGGCTTAGCCACCTCCATCTGCTTAGGGAAAAGCAAAGACAACACGAGGGTGTGCACGGAGCTGATCTGGAGTGAGGAGAAACACGAGGGGACCCAGCCCACCATCTCTGCTCATCGTTTTYCTTTATTCCCACAATCTCTCAGCCTGTGAAAGGGGGAAGCAGCACCCCCGGGCTCTGCCTTTGTGTGCMTTTGCTGGGTGTCCCCGGCCTCTGAGGAGAGCCTGGCCCCAGCCATGAGCAGGAGCAGTTAAAGGCTGAGATGGGAGCCCAGKATCTGATRCAAAGGCTGTGTTTCAGCGAACCATTCCTGAGGCAGGGCTGTGCGAGGATCCCACCCTGAGCGGCGCACAGGCAGCTGTAGTGGAGCAGATCGTGCAGCAGCGCATGGCAACAGCATCACTTGGATTCTGCCATCCCCCCGTGCTCGTTTCTCCCCCTGCCCCCGCACATCCCCCCGTCTCCATCTGGTCTCCACCATCCAGCAGAGCCCCAGCATCCCGGGGGGGTCCTGCGCCCCTCCCCACTCCCGGGCTTGCTCTCTCCGTGCTGGAGCTTTGCATAGCGACAGGAATGAATTTGCCTTCCCCTCCCCCTGCTCCCGGATCTGGACCATCAGACACGCTCTGGCATTGATTCCCTTCGTGCTCGGCTTCCTAGAGCCATTTTGCGGTATTGCAGGGGAGGGTTTTTCTTCCTCACCTCTTGTGTCCTGCTCCCTGAATAAACCTGGCTGGAGAAAAATACCGCGGGCAGGGTTTTAAATGCGGCGGAAAAATAAATAAATATCGGATTTCCTTTAATGCATCGCTAATGGTGTGACTGCACAATGTTTGTAATGGGCAGTTTGGGGAGGGTGGGGGGAGTCTGTGCCAGGGTGCACAGCTCTGTAGGGAGCAGAAGGGTGAGGTCGGTGGGTTTGACACCCTGTGGGGCTGCTGGGGCTCGGATTGGGGTCTCCAGCTGGCTTTAACACCCTGCCCTTCTCTTTCCCCCCTCCCCTGGCGTTCCCCACAGAAGCTGGTGACGGTAACTCGACCCTGGGCGGCGGCAATGGCACGATGGGGCTGAGCGCCCGCTACGGCCCCCAGTTCACCCTGCAGCACGTCCCCGACTACMGGCAGAACGTCTACATCCCGGGCAGCAACGCCACCCTCACCAACGCCGCCGGCAAGCGCGACGCCAAGAACGCCGCCCCCGCCGGAGGCAACAAGAAGAAATCCGGGAAGAAGGAGAAGAAGTAGAGAAGAAGAAGAAGGAGACCTTAGAGCTACAGGGCAGCCGGCTCCAGCACTCCCCCAAAACCACAGCCCAGGCCGGAGGACGAATGTGAATTTTTTTGTGATGCAGAATTAGGAAATGCTGCGAATGTATCTCGTCATCATCAGAGCTGAGAGCAGGGGCTCGCTGCTCTCAGRTCTCATGATGAAAACCAATCCGGAATCTAAACCGAACACAAACAAGTGCCCTGTGAATAATGTTTTATACAACCCCTCGGGTATTAGAATATGCAAAGGCGGAAGGTCTTTTGCCATGTCTTTGGATCCGATTTTCTCCCAGGTAGTCCGAGAAAGGCACAAGGCTTGTGCTCGGCTTTGCCCAGTGTAAATAATTTTAATGTGGATCTTTTAATTTATAGCCCTTCAACTATTTTTTGGAAAGGAAAAGGAAGTTCCTAGCTTAGAGCCCATGCTCCAGTTCTTTGCTCTCAAATTTTCCATTCGTAAAATTCACCCCCAGTCAATGATAGCGATGGATTTTGGAAGTTGGTAGGGAGTGCTTCAGTTCCTGCTTACCCGTCATCCAGAAATAAAAAATAAGTGTTTATATTGCATGAGTCAAAGGGAATATGGCAAAGCTGCATCCTAAACATTTTTTTCTTTTTTTCTGGTTTGTTTTTTTTTTCTTTTAAGTGTAACCACTAATGGCCTGAAATATGAAAAGGAAAAAGCCCTCCTGCTGTGTGAGAGGCAGGGAATTCCACGAGGAGCCTGCCGAGGTGTGCGGCAGCTGCCCCGGCGGTTCTAGGGGTCTCCGAAGAGCAGACACATCTCAAACCTTCTTTGCAGTAAATATTTATATGTACAGTCAATGTTCTTATGGGATTAAGGCTAAGAGAGCATCGCTCCCCCGCGGCCAGGCCTGGCCAGGTCCCCGCCCAGGGGACACGGGGACGACGCTTCACTGTCTGCACACGGTGTCTGCATGCACGTCCCTCACCTCACACCTGCACTAGCGCAGTAGCTCCACGGACCCGGAGAAGTCCTCGCATGCCCACGTGGTGTGAACGCGCCGGCAGCCACCCGAGCTGCCCTGGGGAAGGGGTGGGAGGGGGTGGGATGGCTCAGGYGGGTGGGGAAACTCATTGCTTCTTGTTAGGGCCCCAAAGGTTGTTTGGGGTGGTAAGGCGGCTCTACAAGGCGGTTATTGTGGGGTCTCGCCCAAAGGGGTGGGATCTCCAGAGCTGCCAGTGCATGGCTTTGGTGCAGAGTTGGTGACTGAGTAAGTGATGGTTGTTTTGGTGGCGTTTGGGGACCAGATCCAGACAAGGGACCCAAGAGTAGRGGGAGAATGCTGCAAAACGGGGGGCAGTAATTGGGGAAGTGTCACACGGGACCACGCGGGGCCAGCCCAGAGGAGGGSATGCTCCCGCTTTGGGCTTTGGGCTTTGCACCCTGCGGGGAGAATTGAAGGATGAGGATCAGAGTTGCTCCATGTGCCCATCACCAAAGCACCAGGTCAGCTCCCCATAGCAGAGCAGCTCTGAGCCTCCGGGGAGGCAGATGGGGGTTTTGTGTAGCCATAGCCAGGAGAGGAGCTGTGGAGTGGCCAAGAAGGGGCCGTGCTGAGTTTCCCAGGGGGTGTGTGTCGTTTTTTTCCTTTTTTAATCACTAACACGTAACTCACCCRAGCAGATCCAGCCCTTTCAGCCTCCCCACCCCTGCCCCCTCCCCAAACCCAGGGCAGCAGGAGCATCCACCGTGTTTCATCTGGATCCAGCCATTCTGGCACTGGCTGCACTGGGAGCGGTTCCCACCCTGTCCCCTGCAGCTGCCACCTGCCCCCCTCCTCTAGAAACGCTGTAGCTGAATCGTAGTCTTTATATTTTCTTTTTAATCTGCAATCTGAGGTAGCCTAGTGAGTGTTGTGTATTTAGTGGCGTGTTATTTTTAATCGCGGTAACTAACTTGTGGACATCAGTATTTTCAATTTTCTCTGTATCTTCTTTCCATGTGGTCTGTGCTCCRAGTGTACGTGAAATGAAACACGTTTTGCCCTTTCAATGTGTCTAATATTGAATTATACTTATATATTATATATATGCTTATATCCTTCTTATACCCATATAGACCAATGTYGATGTGTTACACGCAAGTTTTATACTCTAATATTTATATTGCTTTTTTTCTTTGGGAAAAAAAAAATAATAAAATGGTTTCTTCTGAATGAATGGTGTTTATTCTGGCAGGAAGAGGGAGGCACAGTTGGGGTCTGTCCATCCCAGTGCTGCTGCTGGGCTCAGGCTTCGGGCAGGGAGGGGGTGGCTCCAGCAGTGCAGATCCTCTTGGGGCACCCCAGTCTTGTGTCCCCCAGGCCTGCCCTTGGGGCACCCCCATCCTCTGRTCCCCCAGGCCTTTGAGTGGAGGGTGAAATGGCTGTGGGTCATGACTGGGRAGACCATGGGGTCCCTAGTTACAGCCCTTTCTCCAGCCCCAAGAGGATCCAGTTGCCCCTCTCATCACTGGTGGTGGTCTGGCCACTCTTCCCCAGTCCTGGAGAGTCTGGAGCAGCAGACCCTGCCCCATCCCCAGCAGGGATTCACTCTCCCTTCTCCAGCCCTGCTCTGATCTGCTTTTCGTGGCTTGGGCTCCCCTTTTTCTGGTCTCCCCTCTCTGCATTTGGGGACAGTGGATGGGAGGGGATTCAGACGTGACCAGAACTCCCTGRCCAAGACAATTCCCCCACCCTCTCCCTGCGGAAGGGTCCAGCACGGGCTGAGGAAAAACATCCCGTGGCTCAGGGTGTCGCAACCCTGGAGGAAAAACAARCTGCTGCTGGCCAGATGTGAGGGGGAGGGTGGAGGAGGCGGGGGCAGAGCAGCCCCGGGAGACGGACAGACACACGGACAGGCAGACAGAGCCCGGGRCTGGGTTTGGGAGCTGGTCCCCATTGTTAGCAGAGCACAGGAGGCTCCAGGTGCACAGGGCACAGCTCCCTTTCCTGTGTTCCCATCCATCCCCGCCAGTGTCTCCATCCATGTGTAGCTCTGTGGTCCCACCCTCTGCCCCCCATAACCCCCGGCTCTGTCCTCACACACAGAGAGCACCCCCGAGCCCCCCTTGCAGACTGACAGACACTTCCCAAATCCCCCCGTGCCCCATAAAGACACCAAACCCCCACCCTGCTGCACAGAGACCCCTGGAAATCCCCATGCAGCTCTCAGAGGGACACCCCTCTCCCCAAATTCCCTGGCATCCCACAGATCCAGCTCTCCTTCCTTCCCTGCGCACATGGGGCCGTCCCGGTCACACTCACACAAACACGTGTGCGCTTCCTGCTTTGGAACAGGCAGTCCCCAGTCCCAGACCATCGGGGAGGCCACGGGGGTCAGGGCAGTGACAGAGCAGGAATTTGGTGCCGTGAGACCCCCGTGACACGGTGCCCTCTGCCCCCAGYCCCGGAGCTGCTGTCCCTGCCGTGCTGGATCACCTGGAATGCATTAGGGACAGCTCCGGGGGATGCTGGGGATCAATCACATCGACCCGCTGCTAATGGGGGCAGGGCTGAGCACTTCCAGGTGTCATCCATGGGCTGTCACAGCTGGGGTGGCATCGCCCCAGGACACTGCAGTGATGCCACCGGGCACCTGGGGCTGGGTGTAGAGGGCTGTGGGTGAAGGAACAAGGGACGGTCAAGCCACTGGGTCCCCAGATGGGTGACGGTCACCACTGGTGCGGAACGAAGAAGCTGTGCAGGACTCGAGGGGTGGGTTTGGCTTGAGGAGCCACAGCCCCCCCAGTGTTCCGAGCCCCGTGGTGTCCCCGTGTCGCAGCTGCAGGTTTCAGTGTCAGGTTGTGTGTGGAGAGAGGGAGCACATCGAGTTTAATTTCATTTCTCTTCTCTCTTGCGCTAAAATCACCCCCGGGCTCGGCGGGAGCCAGGAAGGGGAAGGCATAAACACAGACCTGGCCAATTAGCGCTGATGAAGGAAACCCGGTCAGCCGCGCTAATTACCAGCGACAGGCGGGAGCGGGAACGTGCTCAGTGCAGCGTGGAGAGCTGGGGGAATTCTCCAGCTGAGGCGGTGACACAGGGGAGGCCAACAGAAACAGAGCCTGAGTCACAGCCCTGACAAAGGGACACAGAGAGGGTGGCAAGAGAGAGCCCCCGGCAGGCACGGAGTGACATCACGGGGGTCATGACATTGCTCCCGGGAAGGGTGACTTGGCCTTGGAAAGGAGATCCTGGATGTGGGATGTGGATGTCACCTCCAGCCGTGGTGGGGACTGGGGGACTGTGCCTGGTGGTGCCTGTGGGGGTGAGGGGCTGTGTCCCCCCAAAACCAGGGATGGGTGGGGGTGTGTGTGGATTCAGCAGCAAACTGTGAGGTGGCCCAGCCGGGGGCAGAGGGGGAGGCTGTGTCTGGGCCAGGGTATCCACACTGGGGTGCTCTGAACATCCCTCAGCAGCCAGGAGGGGCTCGGATTTTCCCCCGTCCTGGTGCCTCCTGCTGKGGCTTCAACCCCTCCTCCATGTCCTTTCCCCAGCGCTGGGATCAGCTCAGCATTTTCTCCTCCCCTCCCTGTCACTGTCCCAGGCACAGCCACGGTGTGGGCCCAGGGAACCCTCAGGCTCCACAGGCAGCAGGGCTGGAAGCTCTTGGTTGTACAGGAAGAGGTCACAGAGGGGTAGAGATCCCCTTGTCCCCCACTGGGGATTGTCCCCAACTCATTTCCTGCTCCTGGCACAGCTGGAG